AACCATTAAGTATAGAAAGGTTATTTTGAATACAGAGGTCTATCAGCCTGTGACCATCCTGATTAACAACTGAGTCTCTAGACTGCCTAGGCAAAAGGAAAGGGAAAGGGGTTTGGTCTTCCCCATCCCAATGGAGAATATTACTAAGGTGTTTCTTATTACAACCGAGTCTAGCATTAAAATCCCCCACTGCCAAAAAAAGCGGCCTCAGGGTATTTGTTAAAAAAAACACTAAAATAATCTTTCAAAGAATTCCATTGGGATTTAAAGGAATTATTATCACGCCAAGGGGGCATATAGGAGGAGGAGGAGGAGGAGATTGGATTTATACCCCGCCCTTCACTACCCAAAGGTGTCTCAGAGCGGCTTACAAACTCCTTTCCCTTCCCCTCCCCACAACAGACACCCTGTGAGGTGGGGTGGAGCTGAGAGAGCTCTCTGAGAGAACTGCTCTTTTTCAAGGACAGCTGTGCCAGAGCTTGTGACTGACCCAAGGTCACATCAGCAGGTGCAAGTGGAGGAGTGGGGAATCAAACCCGGTTCTCCCAGATTAGAGTCTGTGCACTTAACCACTACACCAAACTGGCTCTCTATTAGATACATAGATATTAAAAATATAGACATTAACTATAAGCTGCTTTATAATGTGCTCATTTAATCAAAAGTGTTTCTATTTTTCCTGCAATGTCTAAAATTTTAATGTCTGTTCTACCCGTGATCCCTCCCTTTTTCCTTCCTCTCTTATATACTTCCTTCCTTCAGTGTATCTCATAGTGCCTCTTCCCTACTTTCTCTAGATCCTTTTCATCTACCACTTACTAGCACTTGTGAAGCATGTGATGAGAAAACCCTAACTTCACAACACACAATTAACTTCTAAAGACAGAATAAATTACAGCAAGGCCTCTTTGGTGCTGTAAACATGAATGCCTAGTTCATACCAAAGATTTGACAAGCACAGAAAACTGTTTTAGAATTTGGCTTTCATAAATCAACATATGAAGAAATCTAAGAGCATACCTTTATTCCCAGTGGCTGCTCCAGAAACTTCAGTGTTGGACGATTTTAATTCTGCACCAGATGGCACAAGATAAGATCCACCTGTCTGTGTAGTTCCTTCTTCCTGATACACTGAAGTATCTTTTAGTGAATAAACAAATTTTTGGGGTCGCCTTTTAAAACTGGAAAGTGAACTCGTTGTTGCCAAGCCGGACTTTTTAAGTCCTCTACCATCACCAGCAGCTGCTGTTAGAATACTGTCTCCAGGAGAGCCAGGGGAAGTCTTAGAATTGTCTTTAGAGTATTTATGATGGCAACTGCTATGAGCTTCCAAGAATTCTGTAAAAGTTGTGTTTTCCGTTAAGAAGGAAAGATTTTCTGAGTCATTTATGACAGAAGCTTGCTTAGTCTCACAACCTTTCACTAGGGTTGGGCTGTTAATAGTTTCAACAGGCACTGGAGAATTTTTGGAACCTGCTGTTTTTTCTGGAGAATTAGCATTCAATAATTTGTGGACATTTATTAGACTTGATGTGTTCAATATGCATGATTCTAAAGAACTAGTACGAGCACACTCTTTGGAAGTAGATGGTATGTGGTCTTCAGAATTTTTCTTGATATATATATTAGAAGGTGAGCCACTATAACATGAAGACACTTTTTCCAGCTGTGTTATTTCAAGACCAGACAAGTCCAATTGAGACCATGCAGAGAATACAGAAGATGGCATTTCTTCTTCTACACATATGTTAATTTGATCAGCACAGTGGTTTTGTGTTCTGTTACCTGGAATAATCATTCTGTGCAGATTATACATTGAGGAATTTAATTCTGTTTCATATTTTTCTATATTGACATCTTTAGAGTCCCCTTTCGCTGCATTATTTTCTTTAAGATCATTATGCTTTGCTTTATCAGAGTAATTCTTACTCCATATGTCTGTTTTCATTTCTCTTTGGAAAGTGTTGCCGCTTGTAAAGCATACAGAAAAACTCCCCTCAATTCCTCCTGTAGTGTCAGTTTCTTCATGCATTTCTTCATCTTCCAAATTATTTGGTGGCTTCTGGTTTACACTTGACTTATTGGGAAGTTTGTCTATTCCAAAGCAGCCATCTAATAATTTTCCAAAATCTGTAAATAATTACAAAATCATCAAAATTAAATTTTATTTGCTACACAACTGATTAGTTGATTGGCTGTTCATACATAGCAAAAAAATCAATCAAGTATTTAATTCATTAATGGATTAGACAGATAATTATGCTAACTACAAAAACTACTGTGGTGGGGGAAATGATTAAACTAATGATCTTTTCATATTTATAGAAATTAGCCTTATATACAATTTTAGATTATTAGCTGTTTTTGGAAACATCAGTATTCATAGTCTATACTAGGGACTTTTAAATAATGTAAATGAAGAAATACAGAAGCATTTTAGTTCAAGACAGACAAACAGGTTGAGCAAGTATGACACATCTGAAATTCTATGAAGATATTTTTGGCAAGAGACTAACTGAATTGTCGTACAAGGAATTGTAATAAGCGCATGTAAGTTCAGATCATCTTATACAATCATCGTGATTTACTATTCAATTAAATATAAAACACTAAATATGGCTATAAATGGCAGTGCTCACTTTGGTTCTTGCTGTCATCTTCTGAACACAAGTCTTCTATTCCTGCTGTAGATAGTATGTTCTTACCAGGACTTCTCCCATACTTGGATAAAAGACTTTGCATGATCTGAAAACCAAAAAGGGATAATTATACAAATTACTTATGAGTTAAGGGCACTGATTCTCACTGACCCTTCCTCCCATTCATGTGTTTTGTTTTAATTGCTTTGTTTTTATTCTTGTTTTAATGTTTTTACTGTTTACTGTCTTGGGTCCCCTAATTCAAACGGAAAGGTGGCTTAAAAATGTTTAAAACAGGTAAACAGATAAAATTAAGACAAACTGGTTGCTATCTTGAACCCTTTCAAGCCAAGGCTTCGGTTTGGGCTATAAGAGTTACAAACATATTTAACACATAAGTAGATTTTGGGCAAAAATTTCCCATGAAATAACATTTGATCATACAGTTCCAAGAGCAAAAGTGGAAGACAACCGCTGGAAAACTGGATTCTGGAAGATACTGTTCGACAACCTTTTACTTAAGGCTTATGTAAGCCATTTATATTTGGTGCTACAAGTTTACAAGGCAGCTTATAAAAGATAAGACACATAACACAATTCATAAAAAGGAATTCTAAGAAAATGAAAAGTTAAGAAGTCATAGCAATAAAAAGGAATTCTAAGAAAATGAAAAGAAGTCATAGCAAAAAAATCACAGTATTAAGCTGTAAACAGCAGAAGCAGAAAAATCATTAGATACTAAAAACATTACAGATTAAGAACCATCAACCAGTGCCATAAGAAACTAGGTGAAATTACCCAGAACCAGCCTCCAGAGCAAATGAGAATGAATGCTGCCTAGTGGTCAGTGCTGGACTAGAATCTTGAGGGCCCACTGAATTCAATGGGTTTACACTGGAGTAACTTTGCATAGGAACACATGGTTAATTGGCAACTTAGATTCCCCCTTCCCACTGCAGACCCCCTTCATGTCATCCCTCAGCATTTCCTGTCTCCAGGAGCAGCTTTTAATGGGGATCAGTGAGCTACAGTGGGAGGGGGGAGGCAGAAATGTTCCACCCTGCTGAGGGAAATTTTGGTCTGGATCAATCCACTAACTCTCAGCATAACCTACCTCACTGGTCAGTAGCTGTGAGGACAAATTGGGAGTAAGGAAGAACAATGTTGTAAGCTCCTTTGGGTCTCCGCTGGGGAGAAGAATGGAGTATAAACACCTAAATAAATAAATCAAAAATCGCCTGCTGTGCCCGTTTAATTCTTTAAAGCTACTCACCAAAGCAAGTCTTTCATTGTGTTCCTTTTTTCCAGAAGCTGCCTTATCTCCAGTAGCTAAAATTCCAACAACATAAACCATTTGTAATCAAGTTGCAAGTTGTATTATTTATATATATTAGTTGTATTACAATTTATATTTTTTAATACTCAGTTCCCCAGCACAGTATTTCATATCAGATATAATTTTTTAAATTCTGGCATAATCACATTGTTATCGTTTACCTATTACTACTGTTGGGGAAAGTGTAGGGGGTGTAGCCAATGAACTTGACCAAGACATTTCAGGATCCGCTTCTGCTCCCAAGCTTTCAGAAATGCATTTTGGTGTCTGAGCCTAAAACATATCAGAGTAACAGTTTTTAAGCATAAAAATCTAAAATAGTTTTACTCAAACAGCTGAAATATTTGAGGGGGGGAAATTACCTGAAAAATTTTTGGCGTAGAAAGCAAACTTCCATTTAACACTGAAAAATATCAAAAGTCAGACAGTAAGTTTTCTGTCCTCTCTTAGGAATAACATATAAAACTTTCAATACAGCATACAATGAAAGACAACACTGCATACCAGATTTATATCCTAGAGGTGTTCCACATATATTTCTTAAAACAGCTGGGCTGACATAAAAATAAAGGGAAAAAAACTGTTACTAATGAAATACAGTAAAATGACTCTCTCACTATCACAATGCTGCAATTGATCATTAGATCTTATATTAGTAACTACAAACAGAATGAGTCAGGACTGTTGTCTGCCATGGGCTCTGTAGGGATATGGGCACAGGACACAGCACTGGCTGTGATGGTGCAAATGATGCAGACTAATGAGATCAGGGTGCCAGAACACTAAAAACAGGCAATTACTGTGTACCTTGAAATGAGACGGTTGTTTGAAGGAGGACTGATTACTTCATTTGATTGATCCAATTTTGTCCTTGTTGCAGGGGCTTCATTAACAGATCTGCCTGCAATAAAGATATATAATAATTCAAACAAATTTCTGAAATGCCTGCAACCATCAATGTTAAAGTTAAAAAAACAGTTCAACACTACATGTATGAATTTCAACATTTGCTTTTATATAGATCTAAGTTTGTTTGTTTATTTAATTTATACTCCACCTTTCTTTCCACTAGGGGACCCAAAGCAGCTCACATCGTTCTTCCCTCCTCCATTTCATTCTCACAGTAACCCTGTGAGGTAGGTCAGGCTGACAATGTGCGAGTGGCCCAAGGCCACCCAGTGAACTTCCGTGGCTGAGTGGGAATCTGAACTTGGGACTCCTAGATTCTAGTCCAGCACTCTAACTGCTACACCACACTGAGAGTTAAATAAGTCATGATGATCAAAAAGATAATGTACATGAAGCACTATGAATTCTCTAAATATTACAGACAGGGCTATGTATTAGCTTAACAAACACCACCCAATTTCATAACTAAATTGAAATCTGAACCATTGACTTCCAGCTCATATCCTAAAACATGCACTTACTCACTTTATTAAACATATTATTTCAGGAAAACACAAAAGAAACTCAGGTGGTGCTGGCTGGGAAAGCTGAGGTCTTGAGGGACATTGTGCTTCCCACATTTCATGGCATCCAACTAACACTCACTAACACAGTTAAGACCTAGGGCAGTGGTCCCCAACCTCATTGAGCCTGCAGGAACCTTTGGAATTCTGACACAGAATGACGGGCACAACCACAAGACAGCTGCCATCGGCGGTGGAGCTTGCCATACAATGGCTTGTGCAGCTTACCTTCAGTCACACAGTGAAGGACCGGCTTGTGCTGTGGTGGCAATTGCTGCCAAAGCAACTTTTTAAAAAATCTACAGTCAATCAAATCTCTAAATGGCTGATCAGAAGCTTTGCTGTGCAAAAGTCCTACCTGGTCCCAACTACTTTCTTAAAACACTTGGTATGTGCTAGGAAAGGGGGGCTTCAAAGCAGCCACAACCACTGCACTGGGGACCCCTTACCTAGAAGTTATATTGTTAAATATTTAAAAAGGTTTCCAGATAAGTCCTGGAGGGCTGGCAAGGTTATGCTTTGGGCACAGTACATCTGGGGTTTAGGCTCAGAATTATTACTGGAGAAGCAAGTTAATGCTGCTGCAAAACATGTTTTCTTCCATCTTCATTTAGCCCAGAAGATGGCTCCCTACCTTGAGTTGGCCCATCCAGCCACATGGCTTCAATGCCAAGGTAACCTCAAGGCTAGACAATTGCAATCGTGCACTCTACATGGGTCTGGAACTTTGGTTGGTACAGAATGCCGCAGCTGGGTTGCTGTTGGGAGCTAGGAGGAGCATGCACATCACACCCATTTTGCAGACACTCCATTGGTTACTGGTCAGCAGGCCCATAGTTATAGTGAGGTCTCTCAGGGCCCGGCCCCCAACTTACCACCAAGGTCCCCTGACTTCTCATCCATCCCAGGCCCCCCAACTCCTAGGGGCAGCAGTAGGGGAAGGAACTGCAGCAGCAGGTGGGCAACAGAGACAGCCTCACCAGGCGGGCTCGCTGCTCTCCTGCCCTGGCAGCCCGCCATTCAACTGCGGCTGGAGGATGAGAAGCAGCCGCCAGGGGCAGGAATGGAGAGAGGAACTGCGGCAGTGGCAGGCGGGCAACGAAGGCAGCCTCCTTAGGCGGGCTCACCACTTTCCTGCCCTGGCAGCCTTGGCTCCCCTGCCAAAAGGATGCCTGGCTGGTTGCAGGGAAGGGTGGGAGTGAGGTTGCTCGCTTGGGAGCGGTGCGGAGCAATGTTCCTCTAATCTGTGGAGTCATGTGAGCAAAATTTCTACTTTGTGAGCTACTGGCATTAAAGTTGTGAGCGAGCCATTTGGCTACTGCATTAAATTGGTTTGCTCTGTAGCCATCCTTCCTGAGCTAAAACAAAAATGTGTGAGCTGGAGGCTAAAAAACTGTGAGGTAGCTCACACTAACTCAGCTTAGAGGGAACAGTGGTGCGGAGTGTCCCCCAACTTATTTAAAGGCCCCTGAATTTAAAAAGCCTGGCTATGGGCCTGCTGATCAGTTACTGGGTTTAACTCAAGGTACTGGTCATCACATACAAAGCCCTTCATGGCTCATACACATGCATTCTCTGTTGTGGCTCCCACTCATGGAATGGCTTGCCTGAGATCAGGAAGACCCCCTCATATTTAAGATTTTGCAGAATGCTTAAAAATGAAATGTTTAGGATGGCTCTATACAAGGGAATTAAACTATGTGCAGTTTATAACCTGGTAGATGACCACACTATGGGTTGAATCCAAAGCAATGCCAGTAGAACTGTGCTCACACAATAGGGCTTTTCCACCTCTCCTGCATTCCATGGATTTACCCCCACTGAAACCCCTTGTTCCTTAGGTTTGGAGATCCCTGACAAACTGTAAGGGATTTGGTGTGGATGTTGTAGATCAATGGGGTAAGCTGAAGAAATTGCAGATTCTCCCTCTGTTTGGAGAAGATATCTATTTCAAAGATGATTTATGTTTTCTTTAACATATCTCATTGCAATATAATCTTAAGACTCTGTACTTTGAAATGTTATGTGCAAAACTTCTCACCAGCTTCCATTGTGCTCTGATCCATTTCTTTCACTGGAGAAACAAACAGTGGCAAGATTTGACTCTGTTCTTTTAAAATCAGTGGTGTTGAAGCTAACTGACTGTTTGTAAACAGCTTCTTCTTTGGCATCTTAAAAGCGTGTTCATCCAGGCTAGCTTTATATTCAGCATCTTCTGATATTTTGCAGTCATAAGGTGGAACTTCTGAACTCAGCTCTTCCAACCAGTTGAGACTTATTGGCCCTAAGTCTAATAAAAGGGATATATTCAGGATTTTCCAAGGTAGAAAGCAACATCTTTAAGCCCCATATTTTCAAAATTAATGAACTGCTTTTATTTTATTTATTTAGTTTGTACCCCGCCCTCCCCGCAAAGCAGGCTCAGGGCGGCTCACACTGATTAATACATAAATAACAATTATTTTCACATTTAACAGACATACATATGTACATGCACGCACGCACACGCAAGCCTGAGTTGTGCACACTGATAAGTGCTGGTGATGTTTCATTGATTGCTTAAGATGGCATCCTGAAGGTGGCATCCCGAAAGTGTCTACAAGATCTAAACAATTTTTTTGGTCAGTGCTCTTCCTAATGCGAGTGGCGGCACAGGCTGGATGTCAAAGCCAAGGGCCAGGGCTCTATAGTTAAAATTATTGGTGGTAATAGTGGCCAAAAGGCAGGCCAAAACAAGCCTACACTATTACATTATCTTAAGGCTTTTGGAACTCTATGTCCTAGATCAGGGTCCCCAATACTTTTCAGCCTGTGGGCACCTTTGGAATTCTGGCACAGGGTGGTGGGTGCAACCACAAAACGGCTGCTCCAGGAAGTACAACCAGCAACAAAGGAAGCCTCAATGCAGGGGAGAAGAAGGGTAATTAAAAAAAAAACCTGGCAAAGAGTGAGAGAGAATAAAACCAACATTGTGATAGCAGCTCCTGCGGAAACAGTGTTGTTTTAATCTGCACAGCCAAATCAGAAGTCCTGGTGGGTAAAAGCTCCATCTAGCTCCACCCAGTTCTTAAAATCACTTCGTGGGCAACATGATGCCCACAGGCACCGCTCTGGGGACCTCTGGCTTAGATTCTAACAAGAGAAAACATACAGCATGGAAAAGACAATCAGGCAATTTGGAGATGAACTGGGAAAGTAGCTAAACTCCAGCTCAGGAGGTAGAATGAAGATTAGATCACATATTATAAGTCTCTGTTCCTCATTTGGTAGGCTGACTTATTGGCCTCCTGTCAGTTAACACTGCCATGTCTCTGGAATGTATGGGGGGAGATCCTCCTTCCTCAACCTGGTACACTAAGGATGTCTCCTGTCTGGGTTGTTATCTGTTTATGCCTTTCTGACCTTGCGGTTCCAGCTGCTCCTGACCTGCTGGGAACAAATGGCTCCTATTTCACCCGCTCACTTTCCTCCCACGTGTGCACAATGCACAATGCTTACTGGCTTTTGCTTGTAATGGGGGGTGCTTTGAAACTACTATAACTTTGGGTGTCCTACTGCTTTGGGCCATTCCTCACAAAAACGTTCACGTGTCATAGTTATGACCTACCAATAAACAGAATACTTCTTATGAAGTGCTGTGTGGTGTGATCTGACACCTCCAGGCTCACCATTTTCACATTTAACAGACATACATATGTGCATGCCCATGCACGCACGCACAAGCCTGAGTTGTGCACACTGATCCTATTTACTTAAAAACTTCCTGGAATTAGATACATAACTATTAATAAGCCCTCTTATTCAGTGGTGCCGTCAAGTCACAGCCAACTTATGGCAACCCCATAGGGTTTTCAAGGCAAACAATTAAGCAGGGATGGTTTGCCATTACCAAGGAAGACTTTGCAGAGGAAGGCAGTCTCCCAGCCAAGTATCGACCCTACTTAGCTTCTGAGATTTGATGAGATTGGGCTGTGGTATACCATTTCACATACCAAATATTGTCTTTAAGGGTTTCTAATTTCATCTACCCAGCCAATTCAGATACTGCAAATGGCAAATGTATTTATATTTGATGTACTGAGGTCACTAAATGGAATACAATCTTTAAAGTTAGATCAAGGTGGGTAGCTGTGTTGGTCTGAAGCAACAGAACAAAGTTAGAGTCCAATGGCACCTTTAAGACCAACGAAAGTTTTATTCAGGGTGTGAGCTTTCGTGTGTATGCACACACTTGATGAAGTGTGTGTACACACGAAAGCTCACACCTTGAATAAAACTTTTTTGGTCTTAAAGGTGCCCATTGGGCTCTAACTTTAGTCTTTCAAGTGATATGACAAAAGGCTAGGAATAAAGGTCACTGGCTTCAAACAACTGGGAAATAAACACTTTCTAAAGAGCCCTTTTCATATTAGTCAAAAGCATGTATACAGGCTAATACAAAAAGTTTTCCAGGAACTTTGGAAAATAATGAAGTTGTAGAAGATAACCTCATTGGCATTTAAAAAGTGCATTATAATATCAAATGGGGCCATAATGAGATGCCACAGATCTTACTGACTGTTAAAAGTATTTGGATGACTTTTCAGAGTTACTTAAAAATCATAGAATTACAGACTGAGATAAGCATTAATGTCCTTTGAAGAATTATTTAATAATCATGCTACTGAGTAGGAAGTTGTTCTAGGTTAAATTCTCCTACAAAATTCCCTTATAAAACAACCCATGCAAGCTTGCATCAAATACCTTTAAGAGTTAAGATTGTATATTGTAGTAGTGTATGGGCAACACTAGCATTTATCTCAGTGTGCCCAAGTAATTCATTTAGGGAACCTAGCAGTTCGAAAACAAGAAATTGCAATCCATACTTACACTACTCTCTCTGAGACAATCTCAGATGTCTGGGAGGCTATTAATAATAGGTACCACTAAAGTGGGAAGGTAACAGCATTCCGTGCACCTTGGTGTTTAGTCATGCCGGCCACATGACCACGGAAACATCTTCGGACAGCGCTGTCTCTTCGGCTTTGAAACGGAGATGAGCACCGCAACCCTAGAGTCGGATTCGACTGGCTTTCGAGCAAGGGAACCTTTACCTTTACTTTAATAAACAGCTCATTTGTCAACTTTTTAATAACGCCTTTATGACATGCATAGGAAGCTACCTTATACTGAATCAGACCATTGGTCCCTCAAGGTTCATCAGACCATTGCTCAGAATGGCAGAAACTCTCCAGAATTTCAGGAGGAGCTCTTTTACATCACCTACTGCCTGGTCCTTTTAACTAGAGATGCCAGTGTTTGACCTGGGGATCTTTTGTATGACAAGCAGAGGCTCTTCCACTGAGCCACAACCCCATTCCACTACTGGCAATACTGATCTTGAAATGAAGTTTCATATTCAGTTCCTGGCATCTCCACAGGGCTGGAAAAGACCTCTGTGTAAGATCTCAGGAGATCCTCTGCAAGTCTGCGTAGCCAATACCAGGCTAGCTAGACCAATGGCCTTACTCACATGCATCAATATTACCTAGTCCTATCCACAAACCAATTAAACTCATGTTGGAATTTAAAACACTTTTGCTCTGAAATTACTATTTATTCTTCACATAGTATCATCAATGTGCTTGGCATTTTCCGGAGTAGCTTACATGTGCAAGGACACTAGCATGAACTACAAATGACAATGGGACTGCTACTGCAAGTTACTCTGTAGCCACAATCTCTGAAAATTACTCTGTTAAGTTCACTGATGGCACTACATGAAGAACTGTACAAATAACAAAGACTCCATGACCTGGGCTGCAAAGCAATCCATACTTACACCACTCTCTCTGAGACAATCTCAGATGTCTGTGAGGCTATTAATAATTGTTGTGTATAAATAATTGCCTTTGTGCAACTCTAGTTTGATCTCATTGTTACTTGTCCTTAGAGAAATCTATTTAGTCGTAATTTCCTTGCAGATGTAAACAAACATGACCTGCAGCACAAATAATGCTGTAGGTCTTAAACGACCAACTGAAACATACAGAAAATTTAAAATGCCAACATCCAAACTTCCTGCTATATACTTTGATGACTTTGTTTCATTAGTACTTTTGCACAAGTATCTGTCAGTTCAACATGCTTACACAAATTTTAGAAAAGATACTACTAAGAACAACAGTGCTAAAAAATAAAATGTGCATAAAGGAAAGAAATTGCTTTCAAATATGTCTTTAATCAAGTACACAATTTATGTATGATGGCTACAGAAGGGAGTCACTTGCAGTGTCCATAACTAAGTTTTACAAATTCAAGTGGTACCTGATTCACTGCATCGTGTTTTGAACATTTCGAAGAAAGACGATCTCCCCTTAGATATGGGAACATTCTTATCCATAGCATCACTGGTATTGTTAAGCAAACCTGGAAAATGATGTTACAATGCACTCAGACTTAGCCTTCTTATAGTATTTTATTTGATAAGAAATAAAAACTTTCTTTTCCTCTTCTAAATACAAACTATTTTTGTCCTCTCTCACCACCACTCTGAACCATGGTCTTAGCCTTCTTATAGTATTTTATTTGATAAGAAATAAAAACTTTCTTTTCCTCTTCTAAATACAAACTATTTTTCTCCTCTCTCACCACCACTCTGAACCGTGGTTTGTCACGTGTGCACCCATATTAGTTATGATAAACCATATGCCACACATTCTCCTAACATACAACACCAGATTAAGGAACAAACAGTGTACAAAAGTGAGTTATAGATGGTGATACTAAATAATACTTATCTGGAAATCATTCCAAAGAATAATAGTGTTTATTCTTAGTGTTTATGTATCACACTTCAGTTTTTCACAGCACCTTATATACATTATGAAAGTAGCTCTCACAACAACCCTGCTAAGAATGCTAATATTCCCATTATGCAAATGTGGGAGCTGTTAGAACACTGGCTTGCCTTAAAGCCATTTAGCGAATTTATGGCTGACAAGACATTTGCACTGACCCAGTTCTAAAACAACTTCAACAGAATTTGCTTAGGTGGTTTACCAAAAGTGCAAAGAATTGTTAGCATGATAAATGATGCACTTTAAACTAGAGCAATACCATAAAAGGTGGTAAATCAAATTGATGCAGGATGCCATGCTAGCATAACTGGTAAACTGGAGCTATTGCATCAGCAGCATCTAACAGGATCCCTAAAATACATAAATAGAAAAGGAAAACCAAAACAAACAAGGGACTGGGACACTTTCCCTCTTGAGAAAAGATTCAAACGTTCAGGCTATTTTAGTTTTTAAATAAAGAAACCGTTATTCTAAAAATAAGAGAACACAAGTTGGATTCATAGATATATTTTTCTCATAAGAGTTCAAGGCCAACCAACAAAAGTGATGGGGTACTGGGGATGCTACAGTTGAGGAAATGATTAAGCTGATCCCAATCAGCAACAGGGCTCACACATCGCTGATCGTCACCTCTTCCCTATGGCAGACTGTTTTTGGAGACTTCTGCTGAAAAAGTCTTATCTTTCCCCTCTATGTAGGAAGAAACCCATGCTTTCTTCCAGTCCATCTCTGACTGTACTACGTGGCCTATCTCCCTAGACACATTTTCCATAGTGCCTGGCATGAGAGCAGAAAGGTAGTAGGTTTGCAGTGTCTTGAGATACACTTTATGTTACAGAAAACAAAGATCAGAACAGTGCCAAGTGGCTATGCACCTTGGAATGAATCACATTTAACAGCCAGTGGGTATAATGATTAGAGTTTTAGACTGTCTCTTGGGGAGATCAAGGTTCTAAAGCACTGATCATAATAAAAACTCAGTGGGAGGACAGTCATTTTCTCTCAACTTAACCTGTTCTCAGGGTAAAATGATGTACATAGTCACATGCGTCATGGAGGAAGGGTAGGATGAAAGTATTTTAAATGAATAAAATAAAACTGGTTTTCAATTTAGAAAACCAACAGAATCTTTCTCCATTTGTTTTCTCTGCAGGCTAACAGGATGTAGCCGCTGGTGCCACTGAACAGTACTCCCATTTCATGAGGACCCACCACAACACAGTGCTGCATCATCCAGCTCCTTTTTTGTTACAAGAAGCACACTGGAAGGAGAGAGAAAGAAACTGACTTCAGTCCACTGCAGTGGTACATTACAGTTAGCCCCCTCTGGCAATGGTATAAAAGCATGATTAAAGGCTCTGGTGTGCTGCCCCTATTCCCACTCAGTCCCACATGCAATCCTAGTGACCATCACCATATCCTGTGCAACGATTTTCATAAACTGATTTTACACATTCTATACATAATTAATCAGTCCTGAATTTCTCTCTGTCCATTTTCTCCACATTCATGGAAAGTTGTATAACCCTCAGTCACCCCCCTCCACTAATGTTGCCTTATTTGAAGTTTTTCTTTAGCCTTTCCTCATGGAGGTGGCTCAGACCCTCAACTATTTCTTTATTTGCTTCATTTGGTTACTGCTTTTCTCCCCAATGGGGACTCATCCAAAGCAGCTTACATCGTTCTCCTCGCCTCCATTTTTATCCTCACAACAACCCAGTGAGGTAGTTCAGGCTGAGAGTATATGACTAGCCCAAGGTCACCCAGCAAGCTTCCACGGGCAGAAGTTGGGATTAGAACCTGGTTCTCCCAGATCGTAGTCTAATGCTCCAACCACTACACCACACTTTGGTAGCCCTTTCATCTTCATTTTGAAAAATCTGTGCACACATGCACATCACCCCACTACCCTCCCCTTTCCCAAATGCATCTCTGTTCTGGGTCTTAGGTTTCCACTCCATACAATCATGTACGTTTTTTCTAAACCTTTCAACCGCCTCGGAGCTGCTCCCTGAAGGGGCTGGTTAACAGTCCAAAACACACGGGACGAACCAAGCTGAAAGGCTGGCTCTCCCCCAGCCTGATCTCATATTTAGGTTGAAAATTCTAGACACGCTTATTTATGGACAACAACGGGGGGGGGGATATGTAACTAACAAGAACCACAACGGCAAAACAACAACAAAATTTAGCTAAAAGACCCAGACTGACCAGCCTCCGTGTTGCCTCAGGAACTGAATCGTCTTCTCAAAATACAAATCGCGGCGCCAAATCTCGCACACGCCTGCGCACTTATAACAAAAACGAAGGTTTCACTTCAGCTTCGTCCCGAGGATAACTTCCGAGCGCTGCGGTCTATCCCAGGCGTTCAATAATGTGGTCTCTGCCTGGGACACAAATGGAAAGAGGTCAGAGAAAAGTTTGTGAAGAAAGGAGGCGGGCAACTACTTCCCGCCAGGAAATCTTCAGATACGCAGATAATTGTTATGATTCACTTTGAGGATCATGGGACATGTAGTTCTCTCTTTCGCTCTCAGCACTAGACTCATCTAGTGGCACCTCTAGGACCAACAGTTTTATTCAAGGAAAGCTTATACCTTGAATAAAACTTTGTTAGTCTTAAAGATGCCACTGGACTCAAACTTTGTTCTGCTGTTTCTGACCAACAGGGCTACCCACCTGGATCTCTGAGTGTGAGCCAGTGCTAGCAGGTGATTTTTATGTAACACACTTTTTAAAAAATCTGAGCAGAGGCAACAAAAACTATAATTCCTGAACGGTTATATCGCATTAAACTTGGATACAGCTTGCATCATATAGCTGTTTACAAAGTTACCACATTTTTGACTACCTCCAGCAGTATCCAAGATGCAGCAGCCTTTTTCATTCCCATGTTGTAATATACTGTTGTGTCCAATCTGGACAGAGGCAACAGATACAAAATCATCTTCCAACTCCATAGTTCTTTTGATGATAAACCATATGCTTCCAGATAGACAGGACAACTTCTTCAATTTTCTCAGAGAGGTTAATACACATTTACCCCCTCAACTGGTACAGAATGCACCAGCCAGCAAGTTAGTGGGGGGCAGAGGCCCATTGCTGTGATGCCAGCCTCCTGGTGGGGTCTGGAGATCTCCTGCTTTTACAACTGATCTCCAGCTGAAAAAGATCAGCTCCCCTGGAGAAAATGCCATAGGGTGTCCCCTATGGCATTGTACCATGCTGAGGCCCCTCCCCAAACCCCACCCTCTCCAGGATCCACCCCCAAGGTCTCTAGGTATCTTCCAATCCCAGAGGTCATTTCGGGGGGGGATTGCAGGGGAACACAGTTCCCCGGGGTGAGGTACGGGGGGTGGGGCACATGACAAAGCCCCGCCCCCTGCTTCCGGCCGCCCCGCTTCCGGCCCTCATTCAGCCAGGAGGAGGCAGGAGAAGAGGGAGGGTAAGATGCTTCCTCCCTGCCTCTCCCCACCCCTGCCTGCCTGGGGCCAGGGAGGGCCTTCGCAGGGCTTCCTTGCACTCTCGCCGGCCTTGCGGGTCCACCGCCAGGCCCCTCATGGGGCTCAGCAGTGGAGCTGCAAGGCCGGTGGCGGTGGCCGGGACCGTTGGGGGCGGGGTGTGTGGCCTTATGACACACTTCCGGTGATGTCAGGGTGTGTGGCCTTATGACACACTTCCGGTGATGTCAGGGGGTGTGGCATATGCTAATGAGTTATGCTAATGAGTTCCCCTAGCTCTTTTTCTACGAAATGACCCCTATCCAATCCAGACCTTGCTATCCTAATAAGACCTGTCTTGTACCAACAGTGTAGTTTTGGACACAATGTGCCCTGATGACTTTTAAAGCTCAAAATGACTTGGGTCCAACATGCCTGAGGGGTCGCCTCCTTTATATGCTTACCTGCTTTCTGAGGTCAGGCAGAAAGGCCTTAATGCTGGAATCTACCATGGCAGAGGTGTACCTGGTGGTTGTGAGCCTTCTCAGTAATTGCCTCAGATCTTTGGAACTCCCTTCCCCATGAGTTACATCTGCCCCACATATATTGTGAGCAGTTTAAACACACAGACACAGAGAGAGAGAGAGCGCAAAGTCAGCCAGATCCTTCTACAAACCTGAAAAGGGTCCCCAGTTTGTAAAAAAACAAACAAACCTGAAATCCTAGACATATATTTAACTTTAAAAAAAGTTTTGAAAAACCTGATATGATCAAAAGAGTCCCTGTAGCTTTAATGAATGGGATTCCCTCAGCAGCTGTTGCTAGGTAGCCACAGTATTCCAGGCTTGGCCTATCCAGTAAAGGCAGGGCCCATTCCAGGCCTATTTTGATCTTTGAGAGAGGACTCATCAGGGCCTCTGGGACTAGTTGAGAGAGCAAAACACGTTGCGAGGAAAAAACTCTGAAACAATAGGGACAATCAAGTGACAAAAATGACAGTGTGGAAGTGCAGTGTCAGACACACTAAATAATCCACTTTCAATGCACTTTCCAACTGGATTTTGCCAGTTCACACAGTAAAAATCCAGTTAGAAAGTGCACTGAAAGTGGATTATTCAGCATGTGTGACTGCAGCCTATGATAGCCTGTGTGGTGTAGCAGTTAGAATTTCAGAGTAGGGTCTGAGAGACCCAGGTTCAAGTCCCCATCTTGATGTGCAAGTTCACTGGGTGATTTTGGATCAGTCACATACTTTCAGCCTAACCTACCTCACTGGGCTGTTGTGTGGATAAAAAGGAGGAGAGGAGAATAATGTAAGCTGCTTTGGTCCCCACTGTGGAGAAAGGTGGGGTATAAATGAAGCAAATAAAGAATAAATGTAGCTGAAGATGGGAAACAAATAAAAGGTAGGTTGGTGAATAGCTGAGGAGGAGAGAATGAGGCAGGGAAAGGGCGGAGGATATGGGGGTTGCCGGCAGGAGCAAAAGAGGAAATAGTGCATAGAGAGGGAAATAAGGTGCTACCCCACAAGTCCATAAAGGTTCCATACCACAAACATAAAAGAAGCCGTGTTGGATCAGACCAGTGACCCATCCAGTCCAACACTTTGTGTCAGTGGCCAAAAACCAGGTGCCATCAGGTCCACCAGTTGGGCCAAAACTCAGAAGCCTTCCCACTGTTCCCCCACACACACCAAAAATACAGAGCATCCCTGTCCCACCTATACCTTGTGGCTAATAGCCATTGATAGACCTCTGCTCCATATGTTTATCTAACCCCCTAGTGAAGCTATCTATGCTTGTAGACACCACCACTTCCTGTGGCAGGGAATTCCACATATTAATTACTCTTTGGGTGAAAAAGTACTTCTTTTATGTGTACTAAACCTTCTGCTCATTAATTTCACTGAGTGCCCAGGAGTTCTTGTATTGTGAGAAAGGGAGAAAAGTACTTCTTTCTCTACCTTCTCTATCCCATGCATAACTCTGTAAACCTCTATCATGTCACCCCTCAGTCATCATTTCTCCAAGCTAAAGAGCTCCAACCTCTTTAACCTTTCTTCATAGGGAAAGCGTTCTATCCCCTTAATCATTTTGGTTCCTCTTTTCCCAATGCTATCTTTTTGGAGGTGCAGTGACCAGAACTGTACACAGTATTCCAAATGAGGCTGCATCTTCAATTTATACATGGGCATTTATGATACTGGTTGTTTTCAGTTCCCTTCCTAATAATCCCCAGCATAGCATTTCCTTTTTTTATTTCAGTCGCACACTGAGTTGACATTTTCAGTGAGTTATCTACCATGACTCCAAGATCTCTCTCTCGGTCAGTCTCTGCCAGTTTGGACCCCATCAATGTGTATTTATAGTTAGGATTTTTGGCTCCAAAAATGTGCATCACTTTGCACTTGCCCATGTCGAACCTCATTTGCAACATTGATGCCCACTCGCCCAGCCTTGATAGATCGCTCTGGAGCGCCTTACAATCCTCCCTGGTTCTCACCACCCCGAACAACTTGCAAGCAGGCCTGGCCAAGTGGCTAGCACCACACAACTGAGACCACAGTTTTCCTAGGTAGAGGCTGCGGGTGGGAAAGCTTAAGACATGGGCAGATAAAGGTAGGGTGGGAAGGAGATAGGGTTGCCAACTCCAGGTTAGGAAATACTTAGAGATTTGAGGAATGGAAACTGGGAAAGGTGGGGTTTGAGGAGGGGAGGGACCTCAGAGGGTTATAAGGACATAGATGCCACCCTCCAAAGCACCCATTTCCTCCATGAGAACAGGGATTGCCAACCTCCAGGTGGGGGCTGGAGATCACCAGGAATTACAACTGCTTTCCTCATGGCAGAGATCAGCTCCTCTGGAGAAAACTGCTGCTTTGGAAGGAGGACTCTATGGTACTATACCCTGCTGAGATAACTTTCCTTCCCAAATGTCACCTTCCCAAGGCTCCACCCCAAATTGCTGGGAATTTCCCAACCTGAAGCTGGCAACTCTAAGAGGAACAGCCCTCTGCAGTTTGGATGAGATCTGTTGTTCCAAGAGATCTCCAGGTTGGCAACCTTAGAAGGAGAGAAGGAAACAGGAAAAAGGCAGTGGGAGCTTTCAGGAAAGGGAAAGAATAGTGGGGGAGGGGGAAATAAGATGCCCCCCACCAAGTCCTGGCAGGTTTCCGCTTGTAGTCTTATAATTCTTATGCTGGTTTTAAATTATGCATTTATTGACATTAGTTTTCAAACTCTTCTTGTTAAGATTTTACAGTGGTAATTATATCAGCCTGAGAGTAAGCTGCTTTTGGACATTCTTAAAGTGAAAAGGCAGCATATACATAGCCTAAATAACTGAAAATCTCCCCACTCACTTTCGTACACTTATGTATTGAAAAGCAATCCTATAGAAACAGGTAAGATGATCCTGCAAAGATTGCCATCTCTCTTAAAAAGCACTAGTGCTAACTCCATTGACCTGATCTATACATTTATATAATATATAAATGCATTGCGTAAAACCTAGGACACAACATACTGTTATGGATGGTGAGTGATTAGTCCTTTGTTAGGCTCACTGCTGAGTAATAGTCCGTGGAACTAATGGTGGTGGTCTCATGATAGCTGGGGAAATTCTGGATCATAATTAGAGTGTAAAGAGAGTAGAGAACACAACCCCCCCCCACCAGCTGAATGGAAGGGTAAGAGAAAGAACAAAAACAGAAGTTGGTAGTGTTACAGAGAAATCCTGAGCAGGTCTACTCAGAAGTCCTATTTTTATTAAATTGGGCTTACTCTCAGGAAAGTGTTCTTAAGATTTCAGTACAGGGAGGCTTCACACTACCCATTGTCATTCAAATCTAAACAGTAGGCAGGGGGATAGAAGAATTTTGAAGCTGAAACTGGATGTGAGGGGTGGCCAAGTTACTGTCCGGGGGGATATACTGCCATACAGGACATCTTTGCCTTCACCTATGCTGTTTTTATATTTATAAATAAACCCACTGTAACAGGCACTGTAAGTCTTTAGTGCATTCTCACACAAAGGGAACATTCCAATCTTATACATCTACTCAGAAGTAAGTTTATCTGAATCCAATAGTGCTAAGAGGAGACATGACAGAGGTTTATAAAATTATGCATGGGGTAAGAAAGTGAATAGAGGGATTGTTTCTCCCTCTTCTATAATATAGCTCAGGAACATCCAATTAATTGTGGGCAAATAGTTTCAGGACATACTAGTGGAAATACTTATTTACTCAGTGAGTAATTAAGATGTGAAATTCATTGCCAGTTGACTTAGTGATGGCTACAGATTGCTTTTAAAATGGGTTATACAAATTCATGGAGGAAAACTCCATTAAGCTCCTATTCATGGTGACTGAAGAGACAGAACCAGTGGAGGGCCTTGGCCTCCATGCCCCATTCCTTTAGCTCTCCAGAACAGCTAGTTGGCTACTGTGTGAAACAGGATGCTGGACTAGATGGACCACTTGTCTGATCCAGCAGGCTCTTCTTATGTTATGCTCTTATTCCCAATTAAGGGAGCAATCCTAAACAGGTCTACTCAGAATCCAACTCAGGTCTACTCAGAATCCAACTCAGGTCTACTCAGTGGGGCTCACTACCAGGAGTCTGTTGTTAACAATGCAGCCTAAGTATGCTTGGAATTGCCGCCTAAATCCAGTAGTCCTGCTCCTAGAACTTCAGGAAAGTTGGAAGCATATAATGAAGAGGATGCAAACAAACCCTTTAATCTCATCACTGTGTAACTTTTAAGCTTTGAAATATTTATTTAAAATATTTACATTCCTGCCTTTCTCAGGATCCAAAATGGGGAGCAATTACATAAAAATAAATATAACACATTTGAATCAAAAACAAACATACAGATCTATAGTACATAAAGACCCTATTAAAAACCAATCTGAATATACTTTATGTTCCACTGGATATTCCACTTTGCAGAGGCTTAAAGTGCCATTTAGATTTAAATGTATGGACATAATCACAGTGTCTGGCATAATAAATTCACAATTATTTGAAATGTCTTAATTACTGAAGTCAGCTATACCAGTTATTTAAGAAGCATGACTACTGTACTGATGTTACATGGTCATTTCCTGCTGTAGTGTGGATGATATAGGGTAGGGGTCTCCAGTCTTTTTGAGCCTGTGGGCACACTGAACTTCTGACAGAGCATGATAGGCACAGCAGTAAAATGGCTGCCAGAGGACATAGAGTTCTCAGCTCCAGGTTAGGAAATACCTGGGGATTTGGGGGGTGGAGCCTTAGGAGGGTGGGGTTTGGGGATAGGAGTGACTTCAGTGGGGTATAATGGCATAGAGTCCACCTTCCAAACATCAGATTTCCAGCCACCACCTGGAGGTTGGCAACCCTATGCAGGAGGCAGAGCCAGCCACAGAACGGTTGCCACGGCTTGACTTCAGTAACAGTGCAGTTCCTTGGGCTGTGGTGGCAGGTGCTGCCAAAGCAATATTTTAAAAAATCTGCACAGCCATTCAAATCTCCAATAGCCAATCAGAAGCCTTGATGGGCAGAAGCCATAACTGTTCCTGCCCACTTCCTAAAAACACTTGGCGGGCACCAACATGTTGCTGGTGACCTCTGATACAGGCACTTGTGAATAAATACCTGTGTCTAGGGGTTATGGTCCATATTTACAGGAGTGTTTAAAGCCACATTTATACACTGTTGCAGACACACTGTTGTAACGTAGTGTCAGTGGCAATTGGTTCAGTGCATAATGTGTACAGTTCTGGGTTACTGAAATCTTACGTAAATCTACAAAAATGCCATTCCTGTAAACATCTTTTCCCAAATGGGACCAAGATCTCACTGTTGAAGATCACCAGTAGAAAATCTTATTATAAATGTCTGAAATATAGTAAATGTCAATGTTTATGGGCTTTTCTTAGAATATTAAGATGGCAGTGGTATACATCAGAAGAATGTTTCTCCTGCTAAAAGGCTGCAGTTCTCAAATGTCTATACTCAGGGCCTCCATCTTCTTAAAATTATCAGGAACCTGTGATATATGATTAGTAAAGGTAAAGGTTCCCTTGCTCGAAAGCCAGTCGAATCTGACTCTAGGGTTGCAGTGCTCATCTCCGTTTCAAAGCAGAAGAGCCAGTGCTGTCCGAAGATGTTTCCGTGGTCATGTGGCCGGCATGACTAAACACCAAGGCGCACGGAATGCTGTTAGTATGATTAGTACCACAATCCAAAGTACATTTCCTTAGAACCATTACAGTGTAGATGTCATGATCTCAAGGGGACTGTTTTCAGCTGTGTTGCCCAATACTCAGAAGTAATTCCCACAACATTCAGTGCGTAAATAAGTGTGAATTTGATTACAGAGTCAATCCTGAACTGGAACTGTATTGGGTGGATTTCCTGCATTAATCATACTCTGTCCCCCATGTATCTTGCATGATCCATAAACAGTCATGATCTTTCTCAATTGCCATGCAATTATATTCTCATATAATTATGAGAAATCAACCAGAGAGTATTTATTGAGTATAAATCTGTAGCTCAAGAACTTAGTTCTTAAACAGCTGAAGCCAAATGGAATGTTTTGACACATATTTAGGCAAGTGCTTATGGACATATAAAGCTGCCTTATACTGAATCAGACCAATAGTTCATCAAGGTAAGTACTGTCTACTCAGTTCATCAAGGTAAGTACTGTCTACTCAGACTCTCCAGCATCTCAGGTGGAAGTCCTTCACATCACCTACTACCTCATCCTTTTAACTGGAGACGCCAGTGATTGAACCTGGGACTTTCTGCATGCCAACTAGTTGCTCTACAAGTGAACCACAGCCCCTCACATTTTAACCTTTTCTAGGGTAACTGTCATTGATTTCAGTGGCTCTGCTAGAATCACCCATGTCTGAACTCTCAATCTTGCAATCAGTGAGTATCTGTGCAGATTTTTAGTCTTGCTTTGAACATTTTCTTTATGTACATTTCCATCTAGCACTTCCTCAGAGGACCTGAGGGTGATATATTAATTTCCATTCCTCCATTTGACCCTCAAAACTCCTCTGTGAAGTAGGGTACTGATTGACCAAGGAAACTTCAGGGCAGAGTAGGAATTTGAATGGAGGGTTTCTCAAATTTGGTTATATACTCTAACCAGTGGTGATAGACATTAGTTTATCTACTAATGTTTTGGTCGACAGTCCAGCGAAGGAGGTGAAAATTTTCAAACAGTTTGGGGATATGTAGTTGGAAGCGGCAACAGGACTTCACTAATTACCGCGGGCGGGGCGATGATTACCAATGGCCAGTGGTAGTTAACAGGTACTAATTGGAAATCGCTTCTCGTGAAGGGATAAAATGGGGAGCGGGCTGGGAATTACGGCTTCCCAACTAGCCTCCCCAGGCTATGGACCGCTTTGTCTACCCGCCCTACAGCGTGTACCAGAGTTATGGGAGGACCTTCACCTCTAGCCACAACGTGGCCCCCCGGCCGCCCCCCAGGCAGAAGCAGTCCAGCTGGAAGCAGAGCAAGAACAGCAGCACCCCGAACCCCTACCGAGGGCCGCCGCCGCCGCCCGCCCTTTCCTCGGACCCGCCGCGGGAGACCTCGCCGGACTACCTGGACACCTACAAGCGGGCCCAGCTGAAGGCGCTGCTCTCGCAGGTCAGCCCGGGCCTCGCCCCGCGGCTCCGCAAAGCCACCGCCACCAAAGAGGTGGGCATCCAAGTGAACCCGCGGGTCGACGCCGCCGTGCACCTCACGCGGGAGCCGCTGCCGCCGCCGCTGCCGGGCATCTATTCGCCTGTCCTGGGCCGCCGCCTCTTCACTTTGCCCGAAGCGGTGGTGGAGCCCCAAGAGCAGGACGGAGCTCCCGCTTCGCACCCGCTCGCCGCCGACGGAGCGCCCGAGGAGAAGGCGGCGTGGGAGACGGGGAAGAGGGCCGAGGGAGGAGAGCCGCCGGAAGAGGGCCGAGACGAGGAATCCGCCGCCGCCGCGCGGCAGGACGGGAAGGGGGAAGCGGCCAAGAAAGGCGGCAACGGCGGAGGAGAAGGCAAAGTCGTCTCGTTCCAGGTGAGCCGAACGAATAGGCGGGTCCCCCCGGCCCGGCCCGGCTCTGCAGACTCCCACCGTCTCTGCGGCGGCTTTTTCCCGGGCCGACCTCGTTTAGCCACTAGGGGCGCTCTTGCCTCAGGCTCGGTCCGGTGCCTAGGGCGGGAGAAAGTGGGGCGGCCTGTTCCTTTGAGGTAGGGTTGCCAAGGGCTGGAGGGAAGCGTCCTTTCCCGTCAATAAAATGGAAATAGGTAGGTGGAGCTCGAGATAAATAGCATCCCACTAAAGGTCACGGAGAGTCGGACTCGACTGTGCGACAACAACAAAGGAACAGAATGCTTTTCTCCAGGTCCCTTGGCAACCTGGGTGAGGACAGCCTCATCTCTGTTGAAAACCAGACCAGGGATGTAGCTGCTGCTACTGTTGCCTTGTAACTGGTCCAGTAAGACGCTGGTCAGTTGCCATGGTGGGGTCTGGAGATCTGGAATTACAACTGATCTCGAGACAATGTAGTTCAATCCTTCTGCTTTGGGGGATGAATGCTATGTCTTGTCCCTCGGATT